TTGTATTTTCTTAAAATGAGTTCAAATATTTTGATATTTGATAAGAATATCGTTTTAAAACATCAATGTGACATCTCATACTTGTATTCGGGTCAGATACGGGTTGGGGTGTTACGTAACACAACACTAACATGTTCTTGTTCAGTAACCACACTCCCTGCAACATTCAACAAGTCACAAATAGACTTGACCTTAGTAAGATATTCTTTGATTGTCAAGCCAGACTTGCGTTGAGAATGAAGATTATGCTGGAGAGAGGAAATTTTTGCACTGGAACGAGCACAAAAAAGTCAAGCTACACTGTTCTATATTGACAACGCTGTTGTAGGACCAGTCAGGTGAGGCAGAACCTCAGTGCTCACAGTGGTTAAAATCCAAAAAACAAGAAGCTTATCTTGTTGACGATAAGCTGCAAACCCTAGATTATCTTCAAGTTGACTAGATGCATTAGTAACAAACTCATCAGGTACAACAGAACCAACAAAAATAAATCTCAACAACCCATAACCATCAATTATCAAAGTTATTTGATGCTTCCAAAGAAGATAGGTGGATTTAGTGAGTTTAACCATATCATGCTTCGGTAAGTGTTGAATACCAATCATACTTCGCAAATCTCCCGAGCTCAAAGAGGAAACATTTGGAGACACATCCTCAGAATCACGAGTAGGATCAATCGTCAAATCGACCATGATGATCACATAAACAACAAAAATACTTTCCACAGTAATGGACCACGAAAAGCACACAATATCAAGACCACTAGCAAAGAATGTTTGTGAGCAACACATCCATACAATCTTGTGCAATCACAAGAATCAAGATAATTCCTTAGCTAGATCTAGAGGAGAAATAGGAAAAACAAAGAAGAATGTAGAGTAACCTAACCACCAAGACCAGAGAGATTCGAAATACCTCTCTTTCAGCTCGCTCAAGTGATCACCTAAAATCAGCAGAAAAGAAAGTCGGCAACGGAAGAAACACAACCACCAGGATTGGCGAATGATACCATGATAAGATATCATTTAAGCTATCTTGAAGAATAGAAGAATGAAAAATGAGAGTTAGAACTCTCTGTAATTCTATTAGCAGAAGCTTAAGCTCTCTTGAACTAGAGAGTAGCTATTTATACAAGAAGAATGTGCATAGCAAACTCATAACAAACCTAACAGCTTGTAACTATACTATAACAGAAAACCTTATCCATGCAACACACACATGCACATGATCATAACACTAACATTCATCCTACATCATCAATCTTCAGCATTTGCTTCATAACACTAACATTCATCCTGCATCACCAATCTTCAGCATTCGTTTCAGTTTTTTACTCCAACAGGGGTGGGCCGATTTTTTGGCCTGAACACACCCCGATTTTTAGACTAAAACCCATATTAGACCTCGACATGAATATATTAATATTTTAAAATAATTAAAATAATATATTTTATAATAATATAGTTATAATTATTTATTATATTCAAATAGTTAAATTAATATATTTTATAATATATTTTATATTTTTAATAAATAAATAAAAAATATATTTTAATAATATAAAAAATTAAAATATAATACATGTATATATATAAATACAAATAAACCGAGTCGGATCGGATATGTGATTTTTCACCTTAAACTCGCCCAACCTGTCTCGAAAATTTTTACCATATAACCTGCCCTGCACCGAGCCTGAAAATTTAAAAAAAAGGCCCCTATAAGGTTGGACCGAGTCGAGACCTGTCAATTTCTAGTATTTTGACCATCCCTAAATAATCTTATATTCTATGAACTAAATGAAAGTAAAACTTGTTGAAAGAACTGGAATTTTTAAACAGAGTATGAATAAGTAGCATATTCAAAGATATTTTGCAGGATGCATATTCATATACTATATATATCTATATTAAAAATTTAAATTATTTGTTTAAATAAATATAAATAAAATTTTAAAATAGATACAATCAATAAAATAAATAATTATTAAAAAAAATTAAATTTCAGGGTAACTAACCTTAAAACCTTAATTCATTCGTCCCGACAAAAATTGTCTAAAAGATTAAGTTGACACACTGTACAATAAGAATAGTAAAAAATTATTGTGAGGAATAATCTAGTAAATTAATGCAATAACTTTTAACATCCAATACATTTAAGCTAAAGTCCAACCATTGCATGTTTCAATGGGAAGATGATTGCCACCAATGTGGTCCAAAAATAGTTGGGGACTCTTGGAATGGTCCAATCATATGCTAAGCTGAAAAGATTAAAGCTGGAGGAGCTAAAAGGGTTCAACCAATCATATTAGAACAACAACTCAACTTTTTGATATGTTGTATAATTGCTTTAAGTTTCATCTTCGGCTAGAAAATAAAATACGAGAGTTTAAGAGTTCTATTCCAAAAATTTTGGGTAGGCACTTTTTTTTCCATTTTCATACACAAATTAAATTAAATTTAATAATTTTCTCGAATGTGCAGTGGCTCCCCTCGAAAGCCACATGCATCCTCCCTTGTTCGGTATAATATTGGGCTAAACATTGATTTAAATTTTAACTATAAATTAAGTTAAATTTTATTATAATTTTATTGGTTTAAAATTAGTTGATAATTAAATTTAGTTAATAATTATTATGAATTAAAAATTCTTGATGATTAAGTATCCGACTCTATAAATAAATATAAATAGAGAGTGTGTTTTAGTCTTTAGAATTATGAGAGAATTATTTTGAAGAGATGTAATCCTTTTGTAGCCTTTAGAAGTATAAGAGTTGAATTTTATTATAGTTTTATAGTTTTGTAGGATATTAGGAGAGTGATTTGGGATACTCTAGATTTTAGTATAAATACCATATTTTATAATATATGAGATATCATGTATTTATAATCTTTCGTGATTTCTATATTTATAGTTGATTATTATTTTTCTCAGCCATTTAGGTAGTCAAAGTCGAATCAAGGTAATTCCCATCTCTTGCGCATGTATTATTTTACTTTGATGTCATTTTGGTTATTTTTTGCTCATAAATTCTTAACAATTCTTAACAAGTGGTCTCATTAGTCATGATTTGAGTTATAGAATTCTTTGAAATTCTTTTTACAGATTTAGTAGTGATATTATAGACATGTAAGAGGAATTTTACTGCAATGAATTTTCAGTTGCAAGGGAGTAATTCTAGATTGATCAAACGATACTTCAACGAATATTACGTAAGATTTGAAATTGTTGAGGACTTGATGATGAAGCTTCAACAAATATTTGATTTATGTAAAAATTGAATTTGTTGAAGATTTAAAGACAAATTTTCCAATAGAATTTATGTCAATTGAGAGATTTTTAGGTGTTGATTCAAATTCTAATTAGAAATTAAGTTAAATTTTATTATAATTCTACTAATTAAAAGATATTTTATAATTAAGTCTTTTAGTTAAGAGTTCTTATAGAACAAAAATTATGGGTGATTACATACTTAGCTCTACAATAAAGATTATATCTATAGAGAGAGGATGTCTTAGTCTTTAAAATTATGCGATTATTAGTTTGGAGAGATGTAATACTTTTGTAGTCTTTATAACCTTTGGAGTTTATTTTGAGGATGTCTTAGTCTTTAAAATTATGAAATTATTAGTTTGGATAAATGTAATCCTTTTGTAGTCTCTATAATCTTTGGAGTTTATTTTGCATAGATGAATTTTGTAGGGATATTGAATCAATTTGGGGTACTCCAAATTTTAGTATAGATACCTGATATTAAGATATATATGACATCATGGATTTGTACCCTTCATGATTTCTAAGTTAATATTGGGTTATTATTGTTCTCATCTGTAGAGGTTGACAAATTTGAATGTTAAATCTTGTCTCGTGCATATATTTTATTTTACGTTAATCTCACATTGTTTGTTTTTGTTGTGTATTTTTCAATAGAGATGTTGATGTCTAAAAAGTTTTACACTGTTGGATACATGTATTTTTTGGTGAATATCTTTCCATTTCACACATCCACTCATCCAATTATTTGAGATACTTCAGATTTTGGTATAGATATTGAATATTATGATACATTTATTATATATATATATATGATTATAATTTACTTACACAATGTATTTTTTTTAAAATTTTACACAAATTTAATACCATTAGATGAGTGTGGATAGAAGGCTCTTTGTTTTTCCCCAGTTAATATATTCTCGTTTTCTACTGTAAATCTCAGTATTTTATTTCTACTTATCCAACGTCTTAAATTTGTGTAGAAAATACAATAAGTATGTAAAATAATAGCACTATATATATATTTATTTATTTATTTTCACTCATCAAGTGGCCCTAAATTTGTATAAAATAAAAAAAATTACATTTTCTAAATATATAATAACTCTCTCTATATACATATAAATAAAAGAAATGATTAATTTCATTGAATCATTTAGTTTATCAGGAAAAGGTATTCGATCCTTTAAATATGATTAAAAGTTTTGAATCTTGACGTTGTGAATAAAATAAACTGAGTAGGGAAAGTCACTTTAATAATAAACCTTTGTAGTATCTGATCCAAATTAATTGATCAATAAATTAAATACTAACGTTTGATCTAAAAATGACTAATTTTGAATGAACTATATAAAAAATATCGATGGTTAATAAAAAAGTTAATTTTGAAAAAAAATACTAATAATAAATTATTTTTTATCAATAAATATTTATTTATTTTTGGGTAGATAATGTTTTTTTCGTTTTACGATTAATGAAATATCTAAAATTTAAAAAGTAAAATAATTCAATTTAAAATCGAACTCTTTCCTTATAATTATCTTCAAATAAATACAGATTTAATGTACTCTCAAAAGCTTAGTTTTAAGATGAACCCTAAGAATCTTTTAAAATAATATAATCTTAATATTAATCTGCATTTAAAAGTAGACCTAAATTCCTTGCTCTTCTCTTTCACCGCCCACAATCACCGTGTATGTTTTTGAGTTTGAAGTGAATGATACATGGCTGATAAACGAGTGGAGTTTGTGATCAAAGGTGAAGTATGTGAAGAAGCCGTATTCAGGTGGTACAACGACGCATGTACAGGAGGACCTGGCAAGAGAAGTGATCTCTCATCAAAAGCCAAAAAACATCTGTCTGCAATGGGATGGAATTTCTGGCACGCTCCGAAGAATGGAAAATATGAACTCCGGTATCAATCACCGGGAGGAAAAGTTTTCTATACACTCAAAGCGGCTTGCAAAGGCTATATCGACACGATATCCGGGGCCGGGAAAGGAGAAAAAGGGGTGGCTGTTGAGAACTTGGAGCCCAAGCAACCATTAAAGAGGAAGAGTTTGTTTTCAGAAAATCAAGCTTTTGCTGAAACTGTTTGGCCCCAAGCACGAACAAGAGAAACGAAGTTGAAAAAAGAAGATAATAAACTTCGTATCGACAGAAGATCAGGGACCATAGGAGAAGAAATACAATTTGCACCTGCAAACTTGGATACCAAGCAACTATTGAAAAAGAAGACTTTATTTCTAGAAAATCAATCTTTTGATGGATCTTTTCCGCCTCAACCATCGAAAAGAGAAAAGAAGTTGAAAAAACAAGAAAATCAAATCAAGCCTCGGTTGATCAAACGATCGAGTATAAGAATACGAGAGGGTCCGGTGCAGAATTCCTCTCAAGGTAATCCTAAAACCATTCTCTCTTGGTTGATTGATAACAATGTGGTTTCAAATCTAGGAAAAGTGTATTACCGCAGTAAGACAGGGATGCCATTGAAGAAGGGAAGGATAACTCGTTCTGGGATTCATTGTGACTGTTGCTTGAAGGCTTTTGCTCTAACTGCCTTTGAGGCTCATGCTGGTAGTACCAACCATAGGCCAGCGGCTAATATCATCTTGGACGATGGCAGTGGCAGGTCCCTTTCCTATTGTCAAAGACAAATTCGTGATTCGATGGAGAGTTCCAAGGTACAAAGCCCTGAAAATGTGTCGAAGGACGATTCAAATCCACATATCAGTGACGATGTTTGCTCTGTTTGTTGTGATTGGGGAGAGTTGATTTGCTGTGATCGTTGCCCTTCTGCTTTTCATGCGAATTGCTTAGGCCTCAAGGAAGTTCCAGTTGGCGACTGGTTTTGCCCTTCCTGTTGTTGTGGCATTTGTTGCGTTGGACCTTTAAGCAATGGCGATAATTTTCATTCTTGTCAACAATGTGAGCGTCAATTTCATGTTAGGTGCCTGAGGCTGAAGGAATCACACGAACCGAGTGATTATCAGACTGGGAAGAACAATTGGTTCTGCAGCCATAGCTGTGAAAGTATCTTTTCTGGCCTACAAAATCTTATGGGAAAGCCAATTTCGTTGGGGAACAATCTTACTTGGACATTATTGAAGACTGACGCCTGCTCCAATCGTTATACTTATGGTTATAGCCTGGATTCTTCTGCAGAGATTCACGGTAAGTTGAATGTTGCACTTGATGTAATGCATGAGTGTTTCGAGCCTAGTAGCGATGTTTACACAGGTAGAGAGATAGTTCAAGATGTGATTTTCAGCAAAGGATCAAAGCTGAAACGATTGAATTTCAAGGGATTCTATACCATGATCATGGAGGAAAATGATGAAATGGTTACTGTGGCTACTGTGAGGGTACATGGTGAAACGGTGGCTGAACTGCCCCTTGTTGCCACCAGGTTCAGCCACCGACACCGCGGTATGTGTCGAGTTTTGATCGATGAACTTGAAAAGAATCTAGCGAAATTGGGGGTGCAGAGGCTAATTTTACCTGCAGTGGCTGGTGTGGTGGACATGTGGGTTACCAACTTTGGGTTTTCTCGGATGACAGGTGACGAAAGATCAAAATTTCTGCACTATACATTCCTAGACTTTCAGGGCACCATAATGTGCCAAAAACCATTGAAAACAGAGTTGTGAAAGATTGATATATCATATACTACTTTTCAGAAGGTTCAAGTATCTTTCCATGTATGTTATTTTGATACTGAGTTTCAATTTTCTATGTTAATTTTAAATTTGATGTGAATTGGAATTTGCTCGTCGACTGTTTTGAACCGAACCGGTGGTGATTCTTCTTCGATGGTGCGGCTGCTCACTGATCATGGTCTAATTCTAGCTGTTAGATTAAATTAATTTATCATAGAGATCTGAACAGTCCAAAATCCCTTAGCTTCATTTGTTTGTCATAGCTAATTTTGATATAAAGAGGGTTTAGGCACGAGACTGATGAAATACAACTGCAGATTTATATTATGAGGTCACTGGTATGAGCATTTATGCAGAAAGAAATGTGTAGAAATACTATACACGCATGGGATATGCCTGGTAAATTCAACACATTTGATAGCTCCATAATGAATAATCATTAACATGGAAGTCTCATTTACACAACGTAAGAATTATGGATCATTGCCAGTGCAGCAGTCAAAACACAGCTTTGAGGTTGAAAGATGTTTTAGCAAAGCAATCTCCCATTTCTTTCATAATCGGTTGCCTTCTTTTCAATTATAAAATGACATCGGAGACAATATAAGCGATAAAATCCGGGCTATCATAGTCGAAATACAAGGGGATACGAGTCAAGGATGCCCATTGCGCTAAAGAATGAGCAACATTATTCGCTGAGCGACGGACATAGGAGACACTATCATAGTTGAAGTTTCGCTTCGACAAGGTGAAAGGACGTCACAGAGAGATCAATACAATGGTGGACAAGCTAAACGAATACCCGATGTTAGAGTGTGTGCCTCGACAATACTCGCATCGGTTAGGTCAACAATCGGCAATGTGTGGCCTGCAATGACCATGCCCTGATCGTCCCTAACAACGACACCTATAGCATAGGATTCAGTAGTGATCCCACTGGAGGTTTACACAATCGGGAGAGCGCAAGTAGCACCAACGCACGGTTTCTGATATACCCAAACACAGCCCACAGTTTCAATTAACGAAATACGTTAAAGAGAAAGCATGCATTGATGAGTTTTCGATATAAATAAGTTGTTAGTCAGTTTATTTATGTTTAGAAATAATTGATTTTAATTGTATTTATAGTACATTAATTGATTGTAATTGCAGTTTTATATATAAGAAAATCGATAATTGTATGAATCGAAGTGGGCAACATTCTTCATTTGATGGGCTTATTGGGTGGGTCTATGGCTCCATAGGGATTAGGTTTTGCCTTCGATACCTCTAACAACCATACAATGTACCTTGTATGTTCTTGAAAGAAAATAAATTTATATGGAGTCAACTGAGAGTTGATGTTACACATAAATATTCAATTAGATTGATTTAAATGATGAAAATTTAAACTATCAAATTTATGAATATTATTATTTTTAAATTAACTCAAATTTATAAAAATTTGAGCCAACTCAATATATTTATTAAAATTTTTATTTTCATTTAAATATAATTATTTATAATATTATAATATTAATTTATTCTAATTTAAACGACCTCAACTAAAGCTCAAGTAAGGGTTTCCGGAAAATAAACAAAGAAGTGAGATTAAGACAATAAAAGTAAGGGTAATAAAAACTATAAAAAATTAAAGACAAGAATAAAGTATGTAATAAAAAAATGTTCTTGTCTCCCTTGTAATAGGCTCCCTTATGATCTGATCTTGATGGATGATATGAAAAGATGAGAAAGGCAGTGAAGACGAATTTAAAATTGGATGGTCGGATTGTGAGAAAAACATAATTGAAAATTTACCCTGGTAGGGTTGTGTGTTAACGGAAACCCTAGATTTGATGTGGGAGGTGACATGAATGATGGATGATGTTGATGATGGAGTTGGCATGATGATGATATAGTTGGATATGTCTTATCGAACCCTCCTAGTCGCAATTAAAAGGCAAACTCGATAATACAACTCTAATCAGCCCTCCTAATCACATTGAAAAGACAAACTTGAGTGTGAAGATCTATCTCTCAAGAACTCAGAAGAACTAAAGAAGAAGATGCTTCGAAGGCACAAGACAATCAGCTCTTGCAAAAACGATCTCTCGTTGTATTGTATAAAATAAAATAAAAGTTAATGATTTACAATGAGGGGGAGAGGGCCTCCTTATATAGTGTTTGAGGAGTCCTTGTAGGAACATGAATGATGAATATAATAATAATAAAATACTATCCTAATCCATGTGATGTGGGCAACATCAATCTCGGCCCTTGAAGGTAGTGCTTGATCCAATCGTGGAGATGGAAATTAGGAATTTGAATGCATGACTTGATCCTCAGCCATTAGATGTGTGATGAACGGTCTAGATTGAGCTTCTGGAAGGTGGAGGCTTGGAGAATAAGATGGGGGCTGCTAGAGTTTTGTCATTACAAGCAAATTACCCTTATAGCTTTAACTTAAACTATTCCTGATATGAAAATAAGGAAATTTCGTAAATAATTATAAAATCCCGTATAGGGATTTCTGCATGTACCATTTTCATTATAATGGTCATATCTTAAATTTCTAATATCAGATTAACACGATTCAAGAACCGTTGGAAAGATAAGAGACATACGATCAAATCTCCAAAAGACATGTTGACCAAATAACATCAGGATCTTATTAAAAAAGCAGTCGTAAATCTACTGATCTGTTGTTCTTTTCCAATGCTTGATCGTGTGAGTCCATTGGAAGCTCTAGTCTATCTTCCTTTGATGTGAGTCTTGTAATGCATGTATCAGGAATACAAGTTATTGTCGTTCTTCCTACGGCCTTTACTCTTAGGGAAGTTGTTTCCTCTCAATTTCTTTCGATCATCGCCTTATTCGGGGTTGAAAGTGCCACAGAAGAAAGTCTGAAACATCTTAAAGTGAGTCTTTCTTTTCAATGTAGACATAGAAAATAGAAAGGGAGAGGCAAAGGACTTAAATGAAGGGTCGAGAAAAGAATAGATCCAAAGGTAGCCAAATTGAATGATTTGAGAAATTAAACAAAAAATAAATTCTTCCAAGTAATAGAAGTTTCCGAATGGATTTCCTTCTAGTTTGACTTGCGGAAGGGGAATAAATTTAAGGACAATTTCTTGAAGAACAAGTCTAGAAACGGTCCTTCTTGGATTAGTGTTTTCACTTATCATCACAACCGTGATGGTAGTGGTTATTATTATTATTACCATTATTACAATAAAACCACGTTCAAAATGAGATTATAAATTATAATATATGAAATTATAATGTGAAAATCTTACGATAAAAAATTACACAATTCATTATATTTGTGACAAATATAAAAATTCATAAAAGAACATCAAATCTTAGAACCCTAATAATATATATAATTATAAAACATATACACATTAATTAAATTAAATTGTATTGCATATATTTTTGGTGGAATCAGGAGTGAGCTACGACTTTGAATTTATTGACAAAGAGTCTCCGTACCCATCACAGTTCCTCATCTTCCTTCTGATTTACTTTTGGTTAAATGGATCGTATGACAACCTTTTTCAAACTAAACTAGAACATAATTAAGTTATTAAGTCTAACAAGTAAAAAGACATCACCATGAAACTAGAGTACATTGAATTATTGTTATTGTTAAAATATAAAAACCAGAATGTAAAAATTACTTCTCATATCAACACTCAAAGCATAAACTTACGATTTGTCCATATTATATACAAGTTTCATCCCCAGCAAACTAACTAATTCAAAACTGCTCCTAACAACATATTAATAGAAATCTAACTGTAAATTCAACACTCCCCCTCAAGTTGGGTGTTGAAAGACATTTTCAACTCCCAACTTGGATAACATATAACTATGCTATTGGCTTCCCAAGGCTTTTGTCATGATGGCTGCAAGCTGTTCATGTGTTGAAATATATTCTGTTTGAATCAATCCCTCCTGAATTTTTTCTCTCACAAAATGACAGTCGATTTCAATATGCTTTGTCCTTTCATGATACACATGATTGACAGTTATTTGAAGAGCATCTTTATTGTCACAATAGAGCTTTACAGGTTTCAAATCTTTTATATCAAGTTCTGCAAGTAAACCTTATAACCATACTAATTCAGAGGTAACTACTGCCATAGCTATATACTCTACTTCTGCTGAAGATCTTGCTACAACATTTTGCTTCTTTGATTTCCATGAAACCATCGAATCACCAATCTTGATACAAAAACCTGTGACAGATTTTCTTGTCATTGGACATGACTGAAATTTGACAATATGTAGAATTTCTCAACAAAACTCCCTACCCTGGTTCCTTCTTTACATACTTAACTATTCTTAAAGTTGCCTCCATATGAGACCTTTTAGGTTGCTGCATGAACTAACTGAGGAAATTAACTGCATATGTAATGTCAGGACTTGTATATGTCAAATAAATCAATCTCCCAATAAGTCTTTGGTAGACAGATTTATCTTCAACCAGATCATATTCACTTTCAACACTATGCTGCACAACTTTATCATAATCCAAAGAAGTTAATTTCAAATTTTTCTCTAGTGGAGTAGAAACAAACTTTGCTTTTTCCAAACCAGTATCTTTAATTAACTGAAGCGCATACTTTCTCTGATTCAAAAATATTCCTTCCCTTGATCTTAATACTTCAATGCCTAAAAAATACGTCAAATCACCCAAGTCCTTCATCCTAAAATAATTATTTAAGATTGGCTTTAATTCAATAATCAAAACATTATTATCACCAGTTATTACCAAATCATCAACATACACTAACAACAAAACCATTTTACCTTGCTGCCTCTTAATGAATGGAGAGTAATCATGCTTGCTCTAAACATAGCCAACAGAAATCAATGTTACTGTAAGTTTCAGATTCCATTGCCTGAAAGCCTGCTTAAGGCCATACAATGATGTTTGCAGTCGGCATACATTCCTCTACCCTTGACTGCAAAAACCTTCTGGTAACTGCATATAAACCTCCTCAGAA